AAATCCATGGAAAAGAGAATGTCAACTCTACTATGACAACTCATATTTGGACTAATTACAACACTTTGTGTTTTGTTTCATGCTTTACTTTTGTTCATGCCCTTCACCAGTGATGTGATCAGTCTATAGCAAGAAAGGATGCAATGTATGATCATATGTAATTTATTTTACTCCTTTCCTATAAAATAAATCCATTATTGCTGGAGAAACTTCTTTCCAGGAATTTGGACTAAATAATCTAAATCAAAAAGTAACTTGCACATAGCAGCAAGAGATTGCTCATATTCCTATAATATGGTTTGTTATATTCTTCTCAATACTTGGCACTGAACTGGATTCTTTTCCATCCTGGACAGTTGATCTCTCACTGATCCTCTCCCACAGACATTTCTAATGGTCATGTGGGTTTGTAAATCCGATTTCAGAAATTTTTACACCAAGCTCCTAAATGAGTTCTCTCAACACAGGAAGACATTGCTACAGGAGAAACTACATGCTAAATGAAAGCAACATTCACAGTTCCTGCACTGTATTATGCATCTCATTTGTAAACAGGAGTAACAGAATCTCTTCTTTCTTTGTTCATTTAATTAAAATTGATTCTATACATCTCACTGAAATTTTTCTACTTTCTATATTTTGAGAAAATGCCATCCAGTCAGGCCTGCATCAATTTCCTAGTAAACTGCTGCCTTCTCATTATTCATCTCCATTCACTCACCTGCATGTTGCATTGAGGTTGGTTCTACTATTTATGCATATACTGCATATATGACCATCAGCCCTCTTTAAAACATGGATATCCAAGCATCTTAACTTTCCCAGGAATGTTTCATAATACAAATTTTTCCTCACTGTGTATTTGATACCTGTCTCTGCCTGCAATATCCTCTGACAATTCTCCTTGCCAATCCCTATATAGTCAGACAAGCATGTTCCATTTAAACCCTGTGTCTATGTACAGCCTTTCATTCTCTCAGCTTTTCCTCCCTCTGGTGGATAACCTCACTTTTGAAGTCTCCATTCATCTCTGTCTCTAGAAGTCTTTATCCCTTGCCCCTGTTTTCTCCTCTAGCTCTTACAACAAATTCAATTACAGGTGGAAATAAATAAAACTGTTGAGAGTAACATGATGTAAAAGCAGTCCCCTCATGTCCAATAACTGATGAACTGGCTAGGAAAATGAATACTTTACAGCTCACGTGTTTATTATCCCATACAAAAACTGAAATATGTCCTAGGTAGTCCCAAGGAAAAGCAAACCAGTTTATGTTGGGAATAACAGGTATAATCTATAATCATGGACATTTTGCAAGACAGACACAATTTTAAGAGAAAAAATATGAAAAGAAATAGAAATTAAAAAAATAATATGGAATTCATTTTATTAAGGTGAATCATTTATTTGGGACACAATGAAGTACAATAGAGTTTTAAAATTTAATAATTGAGCAAAGAGAAAACAGTGTGATGACTTTTGTTTACATGGAAATTTATTTTTTTTCCTGTAAAATTTTATTCAAGTTGAATGGATCAAGTTGTGAGTTATTATAGGTATCATACATGGTGAATACCCATTGTCTCCCTAAGTGGTTTTCTGAGGTGTTGGACCAGTAAAAGTATTCTTCAATGATGTTAGTATGCATGGGGTTCAGAGGCATACATCCATAATTGTAGGTACTTGACAGGCTGAGGCAAACCCCTGCAGGGTTTCCAGAAAACCATGGATTTTACAGACACCCTGTCTCCTAATATAAAGACTTGGGATCTGAAGTAAACATTATAGTATTTGCCAAGGATACATAATTTTCTGGGTAAAATACACAGGCACACACACAAATAGCAATAAAAGTTTCACACACGACATACATTCTCCTAAAGTAAAACTTCAATAAAAAACTGGGCAAATAAAATTATATGATTATTAGTACTCTTCCTTTTTATTTAGATAATTTGTCTTTCACATGAATTTTTTAAGTAGTTTATCTGTGCATTTGTCAGCAGAGTCACATGTGGGCAGATCATCCAACGTAGAACATAAGAGGCTTCATGATATGGATGATACTGCATATAACCAGCAAAAGGTAGGCACATATGTCAATTTAACTTCCTGATCATTTCTTTTTCTTGCTTCCAGACATTAAACTAGGCCAATTGAAGTGACTTACTCCAATACTCTTTGGGAATCCAAACATAGTAATTGAATATTTAAGTACAGAGAAGTTAACTGGTCATCAATATCAAAATAGCTTTAGCAATCAAGGTGGATGCCAGATAAACTTTATGCAAGCAATTGCATTAATATTTTCCAATAACCTTTGCATTTTCATCTGTGTGACATCCTTAACTGGTGATTAATAAATTGGAGAATTTTGAATAATCAGTTGAATCTAGAAACATGCATAAATGGAATGACCACTGAAACCATTCATGTAAAAACAGCTTCATTCCCATTTAATGTGAAAATATTTAATTTCACATTAGCTGTCATCCATGTCAAGGTTAGAGATGTCATTCTCCATGGATTCCAGTGTCTTTACTGAGACAGATACCAGACTCAAATGAGACACAAAACTACCTGTTAATGGAATCAGAATAATTCAGGATGGGAACTTTTCTGTTTATACAAACAATATCTATCTATTTCATGTCCTTATCCTTAAAGAAATCAATGCAACTATTAATCATATTTACCTTATCTATCTAGTTGTTAGACCTAATTCATTGTATGCAATTTGGGGGAAATCATGAAAGTTTGGAGGTAACTTTTTCCTCTAGTTTCCTGTTGTCTGTGTTAGTAGGTGGTTAATTCCCATGTGTTTGAATGGATTTCTATTCCACAGTCTCATGTGGGTACTTTTAGTGTGCAAGTTTCTCTTGGGGATGTTTCCTGGGCCAGATTTATATCTAAGTATCACAGCTGAAAAATGAGCATATTTTACATGCTACTTACACTTACAAGTATCACTGTAAGGGGAGAGTATCACAGAGCCTCCATCTCACTTCCAGGGTAGTTTCTGCTCAGAGGGTAAAAGCCATCTGAGAAAAAGAAGCTCTGAAATAATAAGTAAAGAAATAAGAGCTGGAGCCAGAAATTAAGTTTGAAAGGTGAAGCAGGTTCTTAAATGGATCCCCAATTTCAGTGGAGCTGCAGCTGAGCAACTAGAAAATGTCTCCAGTTCTTCAATTAAGGGAGAGAGACAGAGACAGAGACAGAGAGAGAGAGAGAGAGAGAGAGAGAGAGAGAGAGAGAGAGAGAGAGAACTAGGGCCACAAGACCACTAAGCCACATCCCTCACCCTATTATGTATTTGATATAGAGACAGGGTCTCACTGAGCTGGTTAGCACCTCACTTCTTTGCTGAGACTGGCTTTGCACTCATGATCCCCCTGCTCACCCTCCTGTTCCACTGGAATTACAGGCATGCACCACTGCACATGGAAACAGGAGGAATGTTCTTTTTGGTGTGGTAGGTGTCTTGCAGCAAAAAGGTTGATTAGCGTAGTGTCCACACCCAACTCTGGCTATGTGGCTGTGTGGCTTCACCTTGTCAACCCAACTCCAGTGCAGTGCTGAACCTGATGGAGCTGTGTAAGAAGTCACACGTAGGGGGCAGTCTCAAACCAGCAAGATTGCTGATGGAAATTCCCAGATACCAGATTTTTCTACCCAGTGGCTTCTATGTCTATTTGATTCTCGTAAAGTTTATGGTTTGTTCCTGTCAGGAGAGAGTAAATTCCAACAAACATCACAGCATTAAAAAAAACCCATGTATTAACTGTACATAAAATGTATGTTTTAAATTATCTCTAGAACAGAGCTAAATGAAGATATGGAGTGGGAAATAACAAGGTTAAGCACCAAAAAAGAAAAGATGCCTTGGTTATAATACAATTATTGGAATGTATTTTTAAAAGGAAGTTGAGTGAAAGTGGTGGGACTAAAGAGAGACAAAATAGGAGAGGAGGAGCTTCTGCTTACACTCTGCTAGTTTCGCTGGCACAGCTGCAGTCTATTTCTTCTAGGAATGCATATTTTGTTTTAAACAAAGTGGTCACTGGTTCTCTGTTGTGGCTTTCCAGTGTTTGCACATTGCCTGACTTATTCATTATGCAGCCAGACACCTGTATCTCATACCTCTGGGTCCAAACTCTGAAAGTAGTTAGTCAAGAAACACAGTGTGATGCTGTGCTACTGCCTTACTTCTTTGAAATTTCTTTTAGTTTTTTCTGCAATGAAATGTGTTCATTCTCTAAAAAATAGAGTGTGCTCATTGGTGTGCATAAAATAAGACTCATCTTCTTACTGAATCACTGTTCTTTTAAAATGAAATTTTGACTGTGTGAATATTTTGCTCAATGAGGTGGCATATTTGGAAGGCTCTGGAGACTCAAATGAAACAAGTGCAAGAATATTTTCTTCCTATTCAAGATGACCCATTTGAAAGTCTCTTATCATATCAAGTATCATATTTAAGCAAACAAATAATTGGCATTTCATTGTTCAAAATGTTGTATGTCTATAACATCAAATCTAATTCAAGAAAACATTTTAAACAAATTTTATATTTATTTTATGGGAGAACACAGAGTTTACTAATTAAGCACTGGTGTTAGTTGTTTTGGATATATGCATATCAGTTAGTTTATTGTAAGGGAACAAATTTCCTGTTTCTTTCTTCCTGATTTTACCCATTAGTAGCCAGATAAAGAGCAGAATTTAGTTTCACCTGGACTGCATGTGAAATTGTATCTCATGTGGAAATATCAATGCAGAAAATGTAATGGTCTAATCTGCAATTGCAGTGACTTCATAACTATAAATAGAATGATTTTCAAAGAGAGGAGCAAAAATCTATATAAAACTCATTATTGTCATTATTTTTATCAGAGTGATTCTGAGCAACTTCCAGAGGAGTGTGCTGCTGGCGTATCCAGTAAGTTCGATCCAAGCACAAAGACAATAAATGAACATGGAGAAGGTAAGAAACACAGGATACAAACTGTATTGGAAAGAGAGTGGCCAAAAAATAGGAGCACTTGTATACAGCACTTGTTCAAGGAATGTGCCTATTAAATAACTAGTAGGGACAAACAAATGTAAGAACTGGTGTATCTCATTGGGTTTCATCCACAGGTTGAATTGAGTGTATTTGCTAAAG